CTACATTGAGGTCAAGGAGCCATTAATTACTAGTTTATCAGTCTAATCGTTGCTAAGACTTATCTCCTATCTGGCTGGGTTTGGCTCCCTCTATCCCCAGACTCAACTGGTTTACAAATAGTTACTGAATTTTTGTTCCACCCTGTCTTCCTCCCTGTGCAGGATGTGGACAAGTATATGGATAACTAATAGCTCACTCGAATTTGGTGTACTATCAGAGAGTGTACTATACAATGTAATTTGCACAAGAAGAAACCACACAGTGTTAATAGGAAAACCACATGGAACCATAAACATTTACTGTCTTGCCTGACAATAAAGAAAAATGGACATAAATTTCCAAAATCTATGTGAACTGCAAGGCTTCAGTAGCCTTTCAAGACTGGGTTGAACTGGAAGTAAATCTAAACAAATAGCTGATATTAAAAACCAATAACAAAATCCTGAAGCTTCCATGAAATACAGTGAAGTTGAAATATCAGGGTCATGCATTTCATAAATACTTGTTGGTGGGAACGGTTCAGAAATCTCTCTAACCTACTGGGGGCAAGTAATAGCCTGCACTTGAGATCTTGTGGTAACTAGTATCAATTTCTTAGTCTTGACTGGAAAGCGTTGTCTTCTCTTCTCTCTCTCTCTCCTCTCTGTCTTTTCTTCTGCTCTTGAAGCAGGATAAGAAGAAGGAAAATAGTCTTTTTGTTTATTATGAATGTCTTGTTTGTTATCAAAGGTAAGCTTCTAAGCTTTCCTAAGAAGTAGGCTTAGAAAGCATAAAGAATGTAAAAATATCTTGAAAGAATTTAACACTTCATTAACCTTACAATTCTGACGTAAGATGACCTCTCCCAGAAATGTAATATAGGCAGTCCCCAGGTTACAAATGTCTGACTTATGTACAACCCGTAGTTGCGAATCAACGCCAGTAAAGCCTGTTATATTAAAAATTCGAGGTACATACAATGGTTCCTAATAACAAATGAGTGCTACTTTGCGACGTGTATCAAAACATTATTACTGTATTATTATGTTAAAGATGTTTTGGTGTATCTGGAAGTGTTTCTTTAATGCTTTTTATGCATAGAAAGATACACTATATACTACAGATTAAGACAAATATTTGACTAATGTTAGATACAAGCTGTACCTAACTGTTCTGATTTATGAACAAACTCAATTTAAAGACAGACTTAGGAATCGAATTAGTTCGTAATACAGGCACTGCCTGTACCCTTCCATACAGCTAATAATTCTTACTTGTGTTGATTTCTTGACAAAGAGGTTTATTATAATATTATAGTTTTAATATTCTGGATGTTACATGGAAGCATAAAATATTTCACAACAGAAAATAACATAGAAGAAATTGAAGCTTACGGTATAAACTCCATTTGAATCAGAACTCTGAACAATCTGTATCCTAAAATGTTATCTTTTAGAATCTAGAAATTGCTAATTTTAAGAATGGATACATCCAGCTGTTTACTGAGTTTGAAAACAAACAAAAATATTCAGGGAGTAGTGTATCTAATTTTTTATAGCCCAAATTGGAAGATTTATTAAAACGTCAGCCTTCTCAAAACCTACTCTAGGAAATCATACTTTAATTTTTGGCATTTTGAAGTGACTCTAACTTCTTTTTTAACGCTAGAGTTTCCCCAAACAATTTCTAATCCAAACCAAACACAACAAATTTAGATGAAATAGAAATGGGTAACTCCATTGACCAATGCCCATGTGAGATCTCAGTAGCCTCTCTGTTTGGGTAAGATCAATTGCACAATTAAGGAAGAGTAAAAGGACATGCAACAAAGAGATAAGCCCATGCTCACTTTTCAACACATGCATTCAAACAAAACACATTTAAGCCTGAAAACTGATTATCTTAAAAATAAAGTCACAGTTGTGCCTCTCTGCGACTTTGAGAAGCAGAGCCTAAGATAAGTCTCTGTCGGTATGTCCCTCTAAGGAGTATCTCTGAGGCTGAAGGTTAATGTTCCTTATTCTAATGGAAATACTAGCCAAAAAAGGAAAGAAAGAAAAGAAAACTACCATTCCCCAGTAGCTGTCACTTCTTATGTCACCCTATATGAATCTGAGAGCTTCCAAGGAGAATCTGAAACAACAGTATTTATGAGGACAAAATCTGTCTTAATGGAAAATGAAATTGGAAACATTATCACATCCATTCATACTGGGCATGTAAATTTTGAATTCTCAACCTGATGCTACAGGAGACTTAAAATAACTTATTGATGAAATATTAATTCTAGGAATTCTAGGAGGGGTGACCAAAGCCTAGATTTATTTTTCATCACTGAAATTTAGGGATTATGGCTATATTACCAGAAAACCAGATTAACTATTTGGGTTGTATAGTTAAATTCTAGAGAGCGCTACTTATATTCAAAATGAAGAAGTGACCACACACTGTAAACTGGGGAAAGAGCTTTAAAAACTGAAAACAGACTTTTTCACAGTCCTTCATTAATAATGCTGCTGTTGCTATTGTTAGATGCCGTTGAGTCGGTTCCGACTCATAGCGACCCTATGTACAACAAAACAAAATGCTGCCCAGGTAATAAACTATATTTCTGTCAGAGAAAGAAACACATGCCTTCATGAGTGGAAAAAAATGCTAATCTTCCTGTAGAGTGATGTCTTTTTTTCCCTTTGGTGCAGTTGTGAAAGAAAGGTAACATGGAGAGCTCAGTCTAGATTTTAAGTCATAGTCTAATGTTATCTTCTAACTGAAATTCTTATGATGACAATGATTATTAATAATGAATGCTTAATGAGTGCCAACAGTAGGCTGGGTGCTGACTGGTAGCTGCACAGGGATGACATATATAAGAATAGGACCTGGCACATGGAGAAGGAGTTTAGATTCTTTCCCCATGATTCACCCACTGCTATGGGAGCTGTCCACAAAAATATCAAGACAAATTGAGTTCAGTGTGAATTTAGCTCAGATGCCACTTGGAATTTATGAGTTAATGTTATGAAGTCCATCCACAAAGGTTGCTGTATACCCTTTTATCTCATAAAGGATAACAGGCATCAAAGTGAAGAACTGAGAAGACCTCTCCAGGAGGCTAGCAAAATAATTTCCTTTAAAATAATGTCAATGGCATGATGAGTAGGTGCTTGCTGTGAGCAGAGGGAGATGGCAGAGAAAGGATGAAGACAGGAGGAAAAAAAAATACTATCATGGGGATACTGTGCTCTTAAGAAGATACCTAGAGACAAGCAAAGAATATCAGCTTGTTGTCTGAGTCTCAAAGAGGGAAGCATAAATTAGTAGGAAATAAGAGATGAAAGAGTAGCTTAGAAGCTGTGAAGTTAGAAAGAGGAAGCACTTCCCTCCTATTATCTGACTGAGTAATGAGGAAGTATACATGAAAAGACTGAATACAGGAAATATGAGGAGTCTATGGCTTTAGGGGGTGGTATGGCCCATTGTTGTTGTTGTTAGGTTGTTGTCGTTCGGTACCGTTGAGTTGGTTCCAACTCATAGCAACCCTGTGTACAACAGAATGAAACAGTGCCCTGTCCTGCGTCATTCTCACAATCATTGTTATGCTTGAACCCATCATTGCAGCCACTGTGTCAATCCACCTCATTGAGGGTCTTCCTCTTTTTGCTGACCATCTACTTTATCGAGCATGATGTCCTTCTCCAGGGACTGATCCCTCCTGATAACATGTCCAAAGTACATGAGATGAAGTCTCTCCATCTTTGCTTCTAGAGAAGCATTCTGGCTGTACTTCTTCCAAGACAGATCTGTTCGTTCTTCTGGCAGTCTATGGTATATTTAATATTCTTCACCAATACTGTTAATTCGAAGGCATCATTTCTTCATTTTTCCTTATTCATTGTCCATGCATATGAGGCAACTGAAAAATATCACGGTTTGGGGCAGGTGTACCTTAGTCCTCAGAGTGACATCTTTGCTTTTTAACGCTTTAAAGAGGTCTTTTGCAACATATTTACCCGATGCAATACGTCATTTGATTTTTTGACTGCTTCTTCCATGGGTGTTGATTGTGGATCCAAGTAAAATGAAATCCTTGACAACTACAACTTTATGCAAAAAATTGTGAATGTGCATGTTTCTAAGAAGAAGGTCCATAGCTTCCAGATTCTTAATCTGCTAGATTGTAAAACTCCAAGGGGGCAGCGACTGTGGCTGTTATTAGATCCCAGCTCTAAGAGTGAATTAGGTCAGTGTCCACCAAAGATTAAGAATCACTGGGTTAGCGGAAGAGTTCTATAAATAATCTTCAAGAGTCAGAATCCAAGAACAGGTTGAGAAAAGCTTCTTGCCAAAAAGAAAACTGATAAAAAGATTGAAGGTAGGGTAGGAAGCATTTGGAAGTAGTAGATGAAAAATGAGGCTCAGCCCTCTGAATGAAAGCCAGAGTTGGAAGCAGGGAGAAAAAAAAAACACAACATTGGATCAACATGGGATGTGCTAAAAGGACAGAAGGGAAGTCAGGAAAATAACTGAAACTTTAGGATATAGACAGAAAGAAAAAGAGAATTCAATACTTATTCTCCATTGTTCACTTAAAATGAGACATAAAACTCAGACAAAGAATTGGATTAAGTAACTCAAACTGAATTCATGTGAATTTGAAAGATACTTCGATAATCTCTGTGATGAATCCACTAACACTCAGTACCTATTTATTTCAATCATTAAAAAAATGCATCTAGTCATAGAAAATCAAACTAGTAGCTTTGGCTTTTTTGTTTTGTTTTGATTTTATGTATAACCTAAAGAGAAATCTCTATTCTATTAAAGTTTATCTTCACAAGCAAAACAAAATAATTTAAAAAGGAAAATAATAGAGTTCTTATGATATCTCAAGGAATCTTTAATCTCCAGGAATCACAGTCCTTTCACTTATTTCATTATTCCTAATTGAGGGATGATAATAATAATCAATAATGTATGAACAAAACCATCATAGTCACAATCTCATTTGTTAGCTACTCACCTCAGCATGCTGGGCATGTCCACAATCTTCTTCATTTTCTTTGCTATAAACAACAGCAACAACAAAATATTATAAACTGTCAATTTGTCTTATAACAATTTTTTATCCATTGATATTATGATTTATTTTAAAAATGGGCTGAGTATCTCTAAACCAAATTCTTACAAAAGTTAAAAACAAAACAAAAAAATTAATCAAAATAAAACAAAATCAGAAACATAAACAAGTAAGAATACAGTTATTTGCCTTCAATGGCACCATGGTAGATGTTCTAATCATTTTCTATAAAATACTGGTAGTAAACATATAGTCTTTTAACTCTATTCTTAGTTGTCACACAATTTAAAGTGAAACAAAAATCTCTCCATACTCTTGAAAAAGATGCGAGAAGAAAATTCTAAAACTACCTCTCATTGGTCATCAGTTCAATACCATCAGGTCCAGTCCTCTCATGAGATCGTGCGGAATTGAGACTTTCCATATTCTGTAACCAAACAAATCATTGGTTGATCAGTAGGAATGGTAAGAAATATGTAACAGCAGACAACTTCTTTCTTTAAGATAGAAAAATCAAATAATATGCAGATACAAACTGATTCTAGTCTATATATTTTTTAAAACTAGTAAATTGTGAGTTTATTACATGCTTCTTGCATAAAACTGTACATTGAGCTTTACTCATCCTTTAATGAAGATATCTGAAAACATCCTAGAAATGGTAAGTGTGTCCTAAAATGTCTTCGTTAGGTATTATCCACATTTTATAGCTAAACATAGTGAAAATTCAGGTTCTCAGAGAATCAGGATGGCATTAGAACTAGAATTGAGGAATCTGACCTTGAATCTAATCAGAAACCTGTAACATCTGCTGCTCATTTAACATCTTTTCAGTATATATTGCCAGTACGATCTAGAGTAATATATAGTCTATGCTTAAGCTATAAAATATCCATAAAAAGAAATGGAGTTAACTGAAGAGCATTTGGTTTCTGAGATATTTAATGTTAATCTTTACATTAGCTAAAATAGAAAAAATATAAACAGGACACTTACTCTGAGTATGTATTTCTGGCTGACCCAGTGGGCGCAATTCTTATCAGGGGTATATTTTAAAGACTATTTTTTATAAGTGCCTCTGTGAATACAGTCAGTGCCTTTTAAATACAATTCACATGACTGAGCACAGAATAAGTAAGCAATAACTATGAAGGAAGATTACAAGTATGCAAACAAGAGCACATTTAAAGTCAGCAAACTCAAAAACATAGCTGTCTTGGAAAATGTGGCCCTTAATTTCATTAAACTCAAGGACTCTTAACTGTATTAAAAGGAAATTAAGCATAAACTACCCACCTGGATCATTAAAAAAAATAATATAGTGCATGGATTGAGGCAACATGTGTTCATTTACATATCAGTAATCTCCCATTATGAAAAAGAAAGAAAACCCTTTACAAAGTAAATCTGATTGTTGTTGTTAGGTGCTGTTGAGTCAGCTCTGACTCATAGTGACCCTATGTGTAACAGAATGAAACACTGTCCCATCCTGTGCCATTATCACAATCATTGCTATGTTTGAGCCCATTGTTGCAGCCACCATGTCAATCTGATTAAGTTTTGCAATAATCCCATGAAATCAACATAAACAAGCATCTTCATAAAATAAAGATATAATTTGAGTATAAACTAATCTTTGGCTTGGTAGATAAATGGATTATTTTCCGTTTATGTTGGTTTGGCCAATTTGTGTAGGATAAAGTTTGAAACCCTGAGCTCTGTCAAAGAATATAGACAAAAGGGAAACAGCATAATGCAATAGTTCTGATGATGGCTCTGGAGTCAGAAGCCTAGGTTTAAATCCTAGCTTTATCATTTACCAGCTGTATGATCCTACTTGAACCTCAAGTTCCTCATCTGGAAAATGGAAATAGCAACAATACTTAACATAAGGTTGTCATTAGGGTTAAATGAGATAATACATGTAAAGCACTAGAATAATGGTTGGTACATTTAATGAATATCAGCTGTTGTTGATGTTATTATTTCTAAAGCTACGAAATCTTCAAGGAAAAGATTTCACTTCTATTTATCCGTGATTCAGATGGTGTCCCAGAAACTGGATAGACAGTTTGAATAATGAATTCATTTGAGTAATAAGCATCGACTTACACACTTGGATAATTTACAGTTAGACAATTTTAGAAAATGGCCCCATGAAATTAAAAAAAAAAAAATTAAGACAACATTCAGTTATATTTACATTTTTATACTTCTGAAGTTTGAGTTAAAAGAAGTCTCTCTGAAATGGTTTCCATTAAACCAAAGTGTAATTGCTCTTATTACCTGGATGTGAACTTCCTTAAAAAGAGGGATATATCTATGACAAAGACTCCTTGTTTGCTCCCATTGGTGATTTTCAACAGATTATCAAAATCTTTAGTGTAAGATCTAGTGCAATAGTATTAGGTTTTCCTAAAGCTCTGAAACATGAATTCTTTTAAACTATTATTAGGGTAAACACAATCTTCTACTTTCAGATTGTTTTACAACCATGACAGTGAAATGATATATGTAAAATGATATGCAAACGACTATTTCAGAAGAAATAAAAATCTTCAGATTAAAGATAAGGAATCTTCAGAAAGAATGGGAGAGGAGAGAAAATAAACCATAACAGTATTATATAAGTTTAGAGATACTTTAGTAAAGATGTTAGACCATTGATTTTTTTTCTAAACAGAAGAACCAATTATAATTGATATAGGTTTTCAGAATTATAGAAATAAGTCAAATTACACAATGGAAAACTTTGCAAAACTTTGTGAGAATGGTTAGCTGATCTCAGGGTTAAAACATAAGTACTAATTTCTTAAATTCTTTTTCTTTTTTTTTAATGTTTGATCTATATTTTTAGAACTCTCCAAGACTACGGGTTTTTAGAGATGTTATTCATAAAGGGTGACTTTCAATATTGTTCACTATTCCTCTCTAAAGCTTTAAAATAATTCCAATTGTCACGTTGTTCTTCACACATTGAGACTGTTGAATATTCATGATTTGTTTCATTAAAACAGCATGCAAGTACATAGTGTCCCTTTGCTAAAGTAGTTGGGTTGCACCTATAACCTTCTGGGAATAGGGAAGAGCTGAAGAATGTGTTACAATTAGCAAAATACCCCAGTTTTACTGAATAAAACTAAGAAAGACAGTAAAGACTTATGAGTACACTAATAAAGCTACCTATTTTTATGGATACACTTTCTCCTCACTTATTGACTATCTCATTATCTGACATTTTGTTATTTACGACAACAGTAAAAAGATATACTATCTCACTATCTGGCGCATTAACGGTGTACATCTGGAAGTAATGAATGCTAAGGTGTGAGGCCAGAGTATCACTGATTTTGATGGTTAAGGTTATGTGTCAGCTTGGCTTGGCCATGATTCTCAGAGGTTTGGTAGCTATGTGCCATATTTTTATGCAAATAACATACACCTGCTATGTTTGTTTGCCAACCACTCCCTCCCTCCCCCGGGTCAGGTATTTTTGTAAGCGCACTGTGCTATTTTTTTTTTACAGCAACATGTAAAAAAAAAAAAATCAGCACAGTGGTGCTTATGAAAATACTTTGAGGGGGCAAACAGCAGTCGGCAAGCAAACATACAAGGTGTGTGGTATTTGCGTAAAACTACGATAATGATGTAATTTGGTAGTTATATAATGATGTACTCATTCTCCATTCTGTGATCTGATATGATCAGCTTCCATTTTCACATAATCCCAATTTTGCATAAAGACCTGGTCTTTGGAACCTACCCATGTCAATAAGTGAGGAGAAGGTGTATAAAATTTGAATGTTTTGTAAATTCTAATTCCCATCCTTTGCCTAGGGTTTAAGGAGAGAATTTAAAGAAAAAGACCGTAATTCCCCTTCATTGAGATGGAGAAATGGGTAAATGTCAAAATACAGGTCAAAATACCTGCTGAAACATAGAATGCTTGCACTGTATGAGAAGTTTTCTACTGAACTTTCAGAAGTGCAGTATTTTTCACTGAAAAAATACTGACTCAATGTCTTTAGAAGGTTTTGAAATGTTTTATGTCCTAAACACTCTGCAGGTGTGGTAAAACAATGGTTCATTAATGCTTTTATTTATTACAGGCTGAAGTAATAGAATTCTTAAAGAAATGTTTTATTGCATTAACTTCTATTTTAATTACTCTTCTAATGTTAGGATCTTTTAAAGTTAGTGGATTGCTTAATAGAAAAGAGAGTATGATTTTAAGTATAATTTAGTGAAACTGCTTCTTGTACACATTTTTTTTTACTTCATAAAGCCCGGTTTATAATCTACAAAATTCTGACCCATATAAGTCTTTACCAGTGCCTTTCAAAATAGATTTGCTATGATATAATTTATTTTGACAATTTTTGAATGTCTGAGGTAACTGAATTTTAAAAATCACCATCCTCAATTATAAAAATAATCTCAACTCTAAAGGAGCAAAAGCTTTGATAAAGTTAACTGTAGACTGTGAAATTTATTTTCAATTTTTTTAATTTTGTGTTATGGCACTGAAAGCTAGCCTCAAAACCTGTTTGACTACTGAAGCACTTGAGAACACTTGCAGCAAAAACAAATTTGTCTTTTAAAACAGTAAAATGTTGACAAAGCTTTTATAGAGGATACTAAAAAAATGCCTTCTTTCAATACACAAAACAACTCAATCTGAAGGCTGCACGGACTGCTGCTAGACAAAACAGGTTCATTATTTTAACCTTGAGCTCTAAGAGGAGGAGAATATTTGATACATTCTCATTAACAAAGGATTAATGAAAGATTTGAATTTCCATTTGTACATATCAGTTATTGTTTAAAACTGTATAAACTAATCCATATTCAAAAAGAACAACTGGTACCATAAAAGAATGCCTATGGAAGAGCCTGCTACCCATCCACCCAAACCCATTCTACTTTTCTTCCATAGTCATGAAATAGCTATATGTCCAGAAATAATACATCTCCCAGCCTCTCTTGCAATTAGATATGGCCATGTGACTAGCATCTCTACAATAACATGAGAAGTGATGTGTGTGGCTTTTAGGCCTGGTCAATGAAATGCCCCACTTCCTCGATGCTCATTTCCTCTTACTGTGAGTTGGAATGGAGATGAAAACTATCAGAATACCCTGGAAGCTACCTACTGAAGATGGCAGAGATGTAGTTGGCCTGGGTTCCTGAATAACTGCTTGGATCAAGACCTCTACTCTTCTCCCCAACCCCTGAATTCTTGCTTTAGATTGTCACATGAGAAAGAACTTATGTTGTGTTTAAGCCATTGTGTTTTGGGTCTTTTTGTCACACAAAGTACCCTAAACAATATGGTGGCCATTCATTCTTTTTTTTTCTTTTCTTTTTCTCAACACATTTTTAATGAGTGCTGAACTATGTTGGGCACTGGGGATACAATAGTGAATA